TGCTACTTTCCAGCTCATATATGGCTTTTTTTCCAGTGATCCCTATACACAGTTCAAAAAATATTCAGAGACTGTGTGTGATTGCTAAACCTATAATCTTTTCAGCATTTAACTCCTTTCATATTCCCCAAATATAGGGGAACAGGATGGTGTTTCAACAAAATGCTACTTAGAATTCTGTTTTAATATACAAATAGCACTTTTTCATTGTACATGTCAACTCCCTGTGTTATTAAGGGCAGTAAACTGTGCTTGGTCTGAGAAGACCTGTGCTCAGTTCAGTCACAGCAGTATAGCAATGAAAAAATTACATAGACTAACCTCAAAAATAGTCAGCTAACTTGGGACGTTGAATCTTGTATCTTTTCTAAAAGTTTTTCTTTAAAGCTACTTTCTCTAAAGTTACTTTCGGCCTTGTGCTTCAGTTACCCAGCAGTAGCCTGGAGATAATATTTACCTACCTCAAGGGGACTTTTTAGGATTAAATGAGTGAATGAACGGGAGGAACTCAGATTTGTGGTAGCAAGGACTAAATGTTCACCTACACAGGTGTCTGCTCTATTCACTTGACTTTCAGATCCCAGAGTGAAGACTGACATGTTAAGAACCTGCCTTTTGACTTGTAAACTGAGAAAATCAACAACAATTTATCACTAAAAGAGAATAAATATGGAACACTGAAATCCCTTGTATGGTTATTTTCCAGCTGTCATCACAACTTAAATTATTTTTAACAATGTAGATATACATCACACTTGGTTACTTCCCCCAGGACCCTGCACAGTCTCAATTAAATTATAACAATTCACTGTGAATGCATCTGAAATAACAAATTCATTCCATTTAATCAATGCATAGGCAAATAGTCTTCCTATCCATAAGAAGACAATGAGTCTGAAGCAATGAAAGATTAGCGTGGGTTTTTTTTTTTTTTTATGGCGCAGATTGTCATTTTCTTGCTGGAAGAAATATTCCTCAAAGAATGATACACTCTTCATTTCAATCTTAGACCTCCACATATAGTACAAAACCAACCTAGCAACTATAGCTTAAATGATCAAATTCACAGTAAGGGTGACCTGCCTCAGGGGAAATTACTAGCTTGCTGCATCTGGCTTTTCACTGCACCACCCCGACATAGATGTCTACACTGCTTCTTAAGCAGCTCCTGTATTACTTTTGCGCATAATGGTTTAAGGCAAACTGGCACCCATTTCAATTTTCTTTAAAATGCTGAGCTGTAAACAGGGATGACTAAGGTACTGTTTCAAGATCAGTTCAATCATCAGTGTAGTAGGAGCAGTTATCTTAAAAACTCTCCTAAAATCAGTCAATCCTCCTAAGGAGTCATAGTTTTTACAGAAAAGGGTTAGATTTGAGCCTTTGGGGAACACATTTCATTAGGCACAGTACTTCAGAAGCCTATCTCTACAGCTGCCAGCTTTAATCAATAAAGAGGACTTTGCCAAACTAAGGTATTTTTCACTGGTTATTGGCAATAGAGTGATTCATCAACTACTCTATTTGTTTATATTGATAATATTTTTGACCAAGGTCCAGCATATTATTTTAAATGAAAAGTGATGGATTCAACGTTTAGTGCCAGCTCAAGTCATAGCTTCATGTTAAA